GGTTTAGCTACCAGTGGTGACACCTGCATCCCATTACAGAGTACTGGTTTTAGTCCCAGCTGCTCCACTTCAATCCTGATTCCTGCTAATGTACCTGAGAAAACAGCGGAAGATGGCCCAGGTATTTGGGATCCTGCCACCCATGTGGTAGATGTAAATGGAGTTACAGGCTCCTGGCTTTGGCCTGGCGCAGTCCTGGCTGTTGCAGCCATTTGGGGAGTGAGCCAGTGGATGGAATTTCTTTTCTCTCTACCTTTCCCTCTTTCTGTTGCTCTGCCTTTCAAATGCATAAATAGATCCTTTTCTAAAATAAATAAATAATAAATCGTTTTTAATAAACAATAAATAAAAAAATCCTTTTTAAAAGAATGAAAAAAGCAAGGCACAGACTAGCAGAAAAACTGTAAAACATATCTGTTAAACGATTTGTATACAGAACACAAAAGAACTCAGAATTCAATAATGGGGCTAGCGCGATGGCATAGCAAGTAAAGCCACCACCTGTGATGCCAGCATCCCATATGGGCGCGGGTCCGAATCCCAGCTGCTCCACTTCCAATCCAGCTCCCTGCTAATGTGCCTGGGAAAGCGGTGAAAAATGGCCCAAGTGCTTGGGCCTCTACGCCCATGTAGGAGACCCAAATGGAATTACAGGCTCCTGGCTTCAGTCTGGCCCAGCCCCCGGGCAATTGCAGCCACCTGGGGAGTGAATCAGTGGATGGAAGTTTCTCTCTCTCTCTCTCTCCCCCTCTGTTGTGTCTCTGTGTAACTCTGCTTTTCAAATAAATAAAATAAATATTAAAAAAAATTCTGTGTTGAACCTGGAAATATCAGAATGAGAAGCAGAATGAATACATGGTGTTGCTATTACCATGTTCCTGGTTTAATCCTAACAACAACCAATCTTTTTTTTTTTTTTTTTTGACAGGCAGAGTTAGACAGTGAGAGAGAGAGAGACAGAGAGAAAGGTCTTCCTTTGCCGTTCGTTCACTCCCCAAATGGCCCCTACAGCCGGTGCGCTGTGGCCGGCGCCCTGCGCCAATCCGAAGGCAGGAGCCAGGTGCTTCCTCCTGGTCTCCCATGCGGGTGCAGGGCCCAAGCACTTGGGCCATCCTCCACTGCCTTCCCGGGCCACAGCAAAGAGCTGGACTGGAAGAGGAGCAACCGGGACAGAATCTGGCGCCCCGACTGGGACTGGCACCCCGACTGGGACTGGAACCCCGGGGTGCCAGCGCCACAGGCGGAGGATTAGCCAAGTGAGCTGCGGCGCTGGCCAACAACTAATCTTATAGCACAATATACCTAGCTATATGCTAAAGTACATTATCCCTGTGAAAGAGGTATAGTCACAAGTTACATAACCCTGGGAGAGAGGTATAGCATTTTTTAATTGATTGATTTGAAAGGCAGAACATCAGAGAGGAAGAGATAGAGAGATCTTCCATCTACTGATTCACTCCCCAAATGAGTGAATCAGCCAGGGCTAGGCCAAGCCAAAGCCAAGAGCCAGGAGCTTCTTCCGGTCTCTCATGTGGGTGGCAAGGACCCAAGCACTTGAGCCATCTTCCACTGCCCCATCAGGTGTGTCAACAGGGATCTGGATCAGAAGCAGAGCATCTGGGACTCAAACAAGCACTCTGATGTGGGATGCTGGCTTCACAAGTGTCTCTCCTTCTCTGTGTTGTTTTGCCTTTCAAATGAATAAACTAAATATTTTAAAAAGCAAAGAACAGAAGATGGAAGAGAGAAAGCTGAGGGTGCTGGCTTCCAACGTTGGAGGAGCACTGCCAGAGATCAAGCAATGACACCAGCCCTTGGAGCCTAGAAAAGCAAAGGAGGGGCTGGCACTGTGGCATAGTGGGTTAAGCTCCCGTCTGTAGCACCAGCACCCAATATGGGCACCAGTTCTAGTCCTGGCTTCTTCACTTCTGATCCAGCTCCCTGCTGGCGTACCTGGGAAAACAGCAAAAGACAGCCCAAGTGCTTGGGCCCCTGCACTGACATGGGAGACCTGGATGAAGTTCCTGGCTCCTGGCTTTGGACCAGTCCAGCCATTGTAGCCATTTAGGGAGTGAACAAGTGAATGGAAGATCGCTCGCTCTCTCTCTCTCTCTCTCTCTCTGCCTCTCAAATAAAATAGATCATTTATTTTAAAAAATGAAGGAAAGGAGTATTTCTAGAACCTCTGATTTCAGTCCAGCAATACTGATTTCAAACTTCTCGCCTCCAGGACAGTGAGAGAATAAATTTTTATTATTTCATGGAAGAAGTTTTGTGGTAATTTATAGCAGCCAGAGGAAATTTTGGGTGACTGTAGGGAGTTATGTAAAGGTTAAAGGTATTTTATTGTTTGGGTTTTTTAAATGTTTTTCTGAAGATTTATTTATTTAGAAAGCAGGGGCAGAGAGGGAGAAGAGAGAGAGAGAAGAAAGAGAGGATCTTCCACCTGCTGGTTCACTCCCTAAATGGGTGCAAAAGTCAGGAATGGACCAGACTGAAGCCAGGAACCAGGAACTCCATCCAGGTCTCCCACATGAGTAGCAGGGACCCAAGTACTTGGGCCATCAACTACTTGTTTTCCCGGGCACATTAGCCTGGAGCTGAACCAGAAGTGGAGCAGCCAGGACTCAACCCAGCACTCTGATGCAGGACAAGGCATCGCAATTGGCAGCTTAACCTGCTCTGCCAGCCCCCTCAGAGACGCATTTTAAAGATAAAATGAGGTCAGGATGTGAAAGAAGAAGAAAGATAGCTCCTGTGATTGGAGAAAAGAAGGACTGCAGGACGCCCTTGGCGAGGAGCTCTCCCGTGGAGCTGCTGCGTCTTTCTTTTCCCCTGCACACAGCCCTCCCGTGGGTGGGGAAGGCATTGCAGGAAACACAACCAGGGACTTCAAAAACGCTATGAGCCCCAAAACCAGTCCTTTTCAATGACAGGACAGAAGCCCTGCTGAGAGGGGAAAGAACTGCGGGCAGCTTCCTGGGAAGAGGTCCTGAGTGTGGGTATCACCACATCTTGTTTCAATAAGATACCGACATGGAGCAGAAAGCTCACCTCCCTTTGCCTCTGCAATCAGGACGTGTCCGAAGCAGAGGCACGGAACACGTCAGCAACTTTCTCAAAGTGACACTACCAGGAAGTGATAGAGCCTGGGTTTCCAGTCTCACTGTAAAGGGCCATGCTCTTATCCAGCAGGTGTAGCTAGGACAATCCTCAGTGTCTGCAAAGGTGAGGAAGGGATTTGGCTCCAGATAGATTTGCAGCAAGGCAGTGGATTGAATTTGCATCTCGAGAATTCTGGATCCTGCTTATATCTCCATAATAAAGAGATTTAAACCAGCTCCAGAAATATTGAAAAGACCTAGGCTCTGAGGGTTGCCACGACCTCCACCCCAATAACCTAGGGACCCTAGGAGGAGGCTACCTTCCTAAAGCAACCAATCCTCATGGATGCCTGCGCTGAGCTGAGCCCTCAACACTTCTCAAAAAACAAACCAACCAAACGTTGCTCCGATACATGGTCCTAGCCCATCCCCCCCAACCCAATCGCGAGCATGTGCTGAAGCGCGCGTGCACACACACACTCGCATAAGATTGTCCCAGGGCGAGCTTGCCCCAATCCCAGAGCCATGGCCCTCACTCAAAATTACGGAGGCAGGTTTGTCTCCTGATCCCGCCTCCCACAACCAAATCTGCGGCATCAGAGCTCCAGGAGAGCTGAATTGTGCTCAGCCCCCCAAATGTCAGGGACGCAGACCTCTCCCCATCACGACCTAGATTTGCTGTCGGCCAAGTCCATCCCCACTTCCAGCCAAAAGAACCCCCTCAGATCCACGGGACCACCTGCCCCACCCTCGCCAGAAGAGCAGCAAATCCCACACACTGAGGACCTAGGTACCTCGGTAACCCCATAAAATCGTGGCTGTTTACTGCGCGAATGTCTCCCCCCATCCCGAACTCATCCCACGGCCCTCCCAGGGGAACCACTGCACTCTCGTCCCCTCTCCCCCGAACACGGAGACTCCGGACTTGAAGTCTCTGGATGCTTCGGGCCCCTGGAAACATCTCCTGCCGTCTCCCACAGGCCCGGCCTTTCCCAGCCCTACTTTCCAGGCGGGAGGAGCACGCTGGAGAGACCGACAAGACAGGGCGGTGAAATAACCGGTGCATGGACACGTACAGAGCGGCTCAGGAGCCCTTACTTTGTTATTTTAAGATGCATCCCTTCCTTGCTTCGTTCATGAAACCAATCAACAAACAGTTGAGGCAATATAGAAACATAATTGAAAGCACAGACTTGGGAGCCAGCGTTCTGGTGCAGCAAGTTAAGCTGCTGCCTGCAATGCAGGCATTCCATATCTGAGTGCTGGTTCAAGTCCTGGCTGCTCCACTTCCCAACTAGCTCCCTGCTAATGTGCCTGGGAAGGCGGCAGAACATGATCCAAGTGCTTGAGCCCCTGACACCTGCATCCTCCCCGCCCCAACTCTGCCGCCGCTGCCGCCTCTGCTGCTGCCAGCAGAACACAGGAGCCCTAATTTATACTTTTATACACTTGATCTTAGCCAAAAGGCTGAGAAGTGATCACAGATATTTTTAAAACACTGTTGCTATATTTTTAATATCAAGGCATGACACATATATCTGATGCTTGTACCGTCAATAAAAACACATATGAATATATACTGTTTACAATTTTTCTACATTTCTTTGTATGAAGTTTTTTCAATTTAAGTTACTATGGAGGTCCTAGAAAAGATCCCGGATGTAAGGAAGTTAGGAGCTGCGAGGATGGACTTAAGATGGCAACATGCCACATACACACCCTTTTAAGTGAAAAGGAAAATCAGAGCATGCGTGTTGACATGCGTTGAACCGGACCTACGCATCGCGCATTAGTTTTTTCTCATAGTGCACAACATCCGTTCAAGCGGGAAAATCAGAGGCTCCGCCCCTTTGAGAATTCTGGGCATTTGAAGCCTAGATTGTTACGTAATTTTTCTGTCTCTTTTCCCGCCCATTTTCCGGGCATCTGATTGGCGGGACTGAGTTCACGCACTGCCTGACTCGTTGATGGTAATACAACAGTCAAGAAACTTCATTGCGCCCCTAGTGGAACCGCAGTTGCCTGCCAGACCGCCAAAACGGAGGTAAGTTCAATTTGGGGGAAGCCTTCGGGCAGGTTAATAGGGGCAGGTAGAAAATCGGGGAACCTCTAGAGAGTACACAAGTGCTTCGGCCTTTCTTGTGTATTCCAAGATCTTTACAATCGTGATTTTAGCTTTGCATGCTGGTCCCATCGAGCAGAGAGAAAACTCTTAAGTATGCGAAAACTCCTTACTTGCTGATTATAAAACTTCCCCCCCTCCTGAGGAACCCCCAAATAATATTTCTGTACTCACAAATAATACCAAATAGCCTCTGCCTGCCTATGGAACTACTTTACTATGTTTTGTGGGAGAAAGCTGTAATCCCGTTGGCCCCAGAAACCCCTAAGTGTCTTTTCCATAAGACACACTTCAGTTTGGGGGCGGGGGGTGGGAGAAGCTCCAGATTGTCGCGTGTTAAAACGACTCCCACCCATTCCTTCAGTCTGAGGTCTGAGTGACCATTACCCGGTGTTTGGTCTTGAGACTTCCGCCCTCTGCGCATTAATGGCTCCCAGATAGCCCAGTAATACTTCGAAATCCGCTCGTATTAGTGATCCCTGTTTCTCTTCAAAACAACGGAACCCCACACATAGCCCTCCGCCGGAAAATCGAAACCGATAGACTGAAAGCTCCCTGGGACTCACCTCCCCACTCCACGACGTCTTCAGGTCAGAAACACCGCTCCCGCACGAAACCCCACTCAGCGAACGGTGTGTCGGTTGCTATGGTCTGAATAGTACATGACCCGTACAAATACTCAGAGATCAGTGTTCCCCATAAACATGTACAATTGTTATTTAGAAGTTAAGATAAAACAAAAGGTTAACAAGTGATAAAAGGGGCCAGCTTTATCGGGGGGGGGGGGGGGGTTAAGTTGCTGTTGGAGTGCAGGCTGCTGCTACTTCTGATCCAGCTTCCTAGTAATGCGCCTTGTAAAGGAAAGCAGCCAACAATGGCCCAAGTACTTTTGCCTCTGCCCTCCACATGGAAGACCAGGATGGTGTTCCTGGCTTCTGGCTTCCGCAGGGGGTTGCAGCCATTTGGGGAATGAACCAGCAGATGCCAAGATTCTTTATGTCTCTCCCTTTCTATTTTGTGTAACTCTGCCTATCAAACAATAAAAAAATAAGTAAATATATTTAAAAATAAGGTCCTGCATTATGGAGTAGCAGGGCATGGGGTGGAGTCCCAGCTGCTCTACTTCTTCTACAGTTCCCTGCTAACATGCCTGGGAAAGCAGCAGAGGATGGCCCAAGTCTGCACCCTTATGGAAGACCTGAATAGAGCTCCTGGCTCTAGGCTTCCACCTAGCCTATCCCTGGCTGCTGGCAGCCATTTGGGGAGTGAACCTGCAGACGAAAGATTCTCTCTTTCTCTGGCTCTCCTTCTTGCTGTAACTCTGCCTTTCAAATAAATAAATATTTTTGTAAAAAAGTTGTAAAAGGGGAAAAAACTAATTTCATGGAATGAAACATTTTTGTTTTTTAATTGTAAAAATTCATTGTGATTCTTCCTGGTGTTTTTTTTTCCTTTTCCCTTTAGAAAAATAATCTTAACCTCCCCCCCCCCCCAAAACCAAAAAGCTAATTACACATTCACTTCACTGCTTCCCCAACAAGGGTCTTTTCTTTTCCAGACTTTTTTTTTCTTTTTAATTAACACATAATTCTACATAGTTATGGGGTACAGTGTGATAACTCAAGACATGTATACAGTGTGTGTAATGAACAAATTGGATAATTAGCATTTGCATATGATTAAATATTGATCATTTCTTTGTGTTGGGAAGCTTTGAACTCCTTTTTTTTAGTTCTTTGTAAAATATGTACTGGGGCCGGTGCTGTGGCGCAGCAGGTTAAAGCCTTGGCCAGAAGCACCAGCATCCCATATGGGTGCTGGTTCGAATCTTGGTGATTCAGCTTTCTGCTGTGGCCTGGGAAAGCAGTAGAAGATGGCCCAGGTCCTTAGGCCCCTGCACCTGCGTGGGAGATGCAGAGGAAGCTCCTCACTCCTGGCTTCAGATATGTGCAGCTCCAACCGTTGTGACCATCTGGAGAGTGAACCAGCAGACAGAAGACCTCTCTACCTCTCTCTTAACTCTGTCATTCAAATAAATAAAATAATTTAAAAAGTACTAAATCGTTGTAAAATGTGTTACCCTGAGCTGCAGAACAGAACTCATTCCTCCTATCTAAATGTATTCCACACCTGTTACCCAACCTCCCTCTAGCCCTTCCTCCTCCATCCTTCTAATCCCTACTTCCCCTATACTTCTAGCCTCTAATAACCACTGTCCTACACTCTACTTCTAGGAAATCAATTTCTTTAGCTTCCACATATGAATATAATCATGTAGAATTTGTCTTTTGTGCCTCATTTACCTAACAAATGTCTCTCCATTTTTCCTTCAGACTAAAACGGATACCAGAGAAAGTACGGAAGTACTTCAAGAACTTCTTGAAAGAATGAAAATAAATGGTGAGTTTATTTTGGTGCAAAAAATATTTTGAATTCTATTTGGTATTTAGTTACAAATATTGCTTCACTGAATCATACCATGTAAATGGTGATACACTTTTCTCTCCCACGTTAAAAAAAAATGAAGAATGGGGAATATTTATGCAATTTTTGTTTCATGCATGCATTTCAAAAATTTTTTGCACTGGGGCCCGTGCTGTGGCATAAGGGGGTAAAGCTGCCACCTGCAGAGCCAGCATCCCATATGGGCGCCAGTTCAAGTCCTGGCTGCTCCACTTCTGATCCAGCTCCCTGCTACTGCACCTGAGAAAGCAGAGAAAGATTGCTCAAGTCTTTGGGCTCCTGCACCCACATAGGAGACCTGGAAGAAGCTCCTGAATCCTGGCTCCTGGCTTCAGTCTGGCCCAGCTTTGGAACCAGCAGATGGAGGATCCCTCTCCCTCTCCCTCTCCCTCTCCCTCTCCCTCTCCCTCTCCCTCTCCCTCTCCCTCTCCCTCTCCCTCTCCCTCTCCCTCTCCCTCTCCCTCTCCCTAATTCTGCCTTTCAAATAAATAAAATAAGTCATTTGAAAACATTTTTTCCATCAACACTAACTCCACAAACTTTTTGAAGTTTGCCCCCACTAACAGTAGCTAACCCTTCTGAAAAACTCCAGGCTGGCTGCTTTGCTCATGTCCACGGCAAACCTGTCATCTAATTAATACTTTCCTCAGAGACCCCCATTCCTCATTCTCATCTGGCTCCTTCACTGCCCTCTGTCCTTACCCAGGGACAGATAAGCCCAGTAGGAAGAAAAGTAGAACCTACATGGCACTGGCTGGCTGAGAGTGGCCATCCCCCGGTGCTTTCTTCCTCCTCTGTACTTTTGGTCTTGTGCCTGCAGATACTGAGACTACATCTCTTCAAGATGAAACTGTTCCGGGTTCCATGAGCACAAACGGATCCCTTCCCATGAGCCACAGTGCTGATTCTCAGAAATCAGAGAAGACATGCAAGGTGAGATGACCTGGAGGGGGCAGAGGAGTGAGCCAAGGGAGAGTATAGGTGACTATATTTCTGAGGATAGAGGCACCAGGGACAAGAGTGAGGTTCAGGGCTTTGGGGGTTTCTCACTCACACTCTGCCCTCATCCCACAAGCTTGGAAAAACAGGTCTTTGACCTTGTACTACACTTGATGACTCCCAGTCTGGTCAGGAAGGTGGGAGGGGAAGCAAGCTAGCCGCAATAAGCACCTACTGTGTGTCAAGGGAGAAGCCAGGAAATGCCACCCCTGTTGACTCGGTTTGCCATAACACTGAGTCCGCCGACATTTCTTTTTCCTTCTCTTCTAGGCCTTCAAAGATATATCCCAGTACTTTTCTAAGAAGGAATGGGAAAAGTTGGAATACTCTGAGAAGATAACTTATGTCTACATGAAGAGAAACTATACCACCATGACTAAACTAGGTATCAGGAAGGGCTGGGCACACACAACACCTGTCTCCTCTTCAGCTGCAGCAGGTGCCTCCCACTTTCCTTTGGTGCAGGAAGAACTCCCAAGGCAGCCTCTAGGCACCCTTCTCTTTTCTGTCCTGTACAGGGCTAAGGGCAAGGAGCAGCATCAGTGGAGCGTGCACCTGCCCTTTTCTCTCCCGTCAGCCTCTCTATGAACTCTGCTGTCTGCACATGGCAGCGCCCTCCCCTGCCTTCTTTTTGTCCCTTTAGCAACAGGTGTTTTGCTTCTTTCTAGGTTTCAAAACTGTCGTCCCAGCTTTCATGTGTTCTGGTAGAAATGCTGAAAAATCCCAGGAAGATGATCCTGATGCAGGTCAGGGCGTCAGCACTGCAGGTCGTGGTGAGTGGATGGGAATTGGGCCTGATTGCTTTTCCTCCAGTCACCTGGGAAGTTGCTGCTCCACACGCATCATGGCTAAGTGAAAACAGGCTGATGCCCAAGGTTGGGTACAGTAGCCATTTACATAAAATTCTTCTTATTTTTTATTTTTTAAAGCTTTATTTATTTATTTGAAAGGTAGAGTTACAGAGAGAGAGAGAGAGAGAGAGAGAGATCTTCCATCAGTTGGTTTACTCCCCAAATGGCTGCAAAGGCCAGGGCTGAACAAGGCCAAAGCTAGGAACTCCATCTAAGCCTCTAACATGGGTGCCAGGGCCCAAGCACTTGGGGCATCCTCCATTGCCTTCCCACACGCATTAGCAGGGAGCTGGATTGGAAGTGGAGCAGCCAGGACTCGAATCAGTGCCCATATGGGATACAGGCCCTGCAGGCGGAGGCTAAACCTTCTACACCACAGCACCGGCCCTCACATAAAATTCTCAAAGATGCAAAACAAGAATATGCATTCCTATGGAAAATAAGTAGATGGTTAATGCACCCAAATCTGAATTGCAATAAAACCCATCAAATTCAGGGGAGTGGCTATAAGTGGAGAAAAGGGAGTATGAGAATTGGAGCCAGCTGCACAGGCAGTTTAAGCCATGATTGTTGGCAGTATTTTATATACTTTTTATGTTTATTTAATTTTTATTTATCTAAAAGGCAGAGAGAGAGAGAGAAAGATCTTCCATTTGCCAATTCTTTCTCCCAAATGCCTGCAATAGCTGAAGCTGAGCCAGGCCCAAGCCAGGAGCCTGGAACTTCATCCGGGTCTCCCACATGGGTGGCAGGGACACAAGTACTTGAGGCATCACCTGTTGCCTCCCATGATGTGCACTAGCAGGAAGCTATATCAGAAGCAGAGATAGAACTGGATTTCAGGTGCCTTGATACGGGATTAGGGTGTCCCAAGTGGCAGGTTAACCTGCTGTGCCACAACTCCTGCCCTGTTTTAGAGCTGAAGTAGTTATGGGAGAGTGTTGAGATCCAACTGGACTCAATATTACTCCTCATGGCGTCCTGTGTGTTTGAAATATTTATTCTTTAAAGAATTGTTTGTCTTACTGAACACAGTGAATGAATCAAAGTGTAAAGCCACCAAAAATTTCCAGTTTCACAACAGCACATAGGTATGGGATAAATAGACAGTGATGAACACATTATGTTATGAAAATTCCAATTTTGTCTTACTATCAATCAAACTTGAGCCTGTGTGTTGAACTTGGAAGAGTTTGAAAGATCAGTACCTCCTACACACATACATTGAGCTTTCCCACGTGTCAGAGAACAGAGAAAACAGAGGGTTAAAAAAAGAGGGACAGACAGACTCTGGGGCAGAGAGCTTTGTGCTTTTGAGTAATGTGTGTAATCAACATAAAGGGGGCAAAATGTGCGTTCGCTCTTCTGCTCTGACAGCACACTTGTGGGAAGATAGGGTCAGAATGTGCAAACCTCTCCCCCATAGACCTGTGACTCTCTAGGTAAGCAAACCAGACTGTGCACACCCCCACAGTCAGTGGGAGAGCTCAGAAAGTCCAGTGCTTGAGTATCTGCCAAGTTTGTTGATATTAAAGGAGTCTCTTTATACTAGAAACATTTCAGAACCACTGAACTAAATTGGCCATGCTTCATCACGCATTCAGCAGGTTAACTGAAGTATAATGGACATTGTAAGACTCATGTTAAGTGTACGGTGATTTCTGGTTCTCACATATCTTTAAGTAGATACAGTTCAGATTCTCAGGCAATCAATTTGATTTGAGGAGCAAAAGAGAGATATGTAACAGAATAGAATAAGGCAGCGATGAAGTTTAAACCCCATTTTATAACCCACCACAAAGGAAATTCCAAATTGATGTCGCAAATAAATGCATAAGCCATAACTACAGATCATTCAGAATCCAGTCTCAGATAAGTCTTTGACAATGAAAGAGTGGACAAATAACCCTCTGCCTCAGAATCCTCTGATACCACAGGTGTCTCTTGAATTTGGAAATCTTTACCAACAAAGAAAAATTCTGATTGCTTGCCTAATTTCAGATGCTCCTGTGCCGGAGTCTTCTGGCATGCATCAGAGAAAACACCTGAAGGTGAGTATCTGCCCAATCTAAAGAACCAGAGAACTTTTGCCCCCCCAACACACACACACACACACACACACACACACACACTGTGGATATGAATATGGATTGCTCAGAGTGGGAGAACATCCACTCCCCTTCCTGATGGCTTCATCCCAGTGCACGATGCGGCACCAATGGCTTAACAACACCTAATAACAACTGTGATAGCTAATACTTTTGTTTTCATAGTAATGCCAGGTTTTAAGCCGTTCCCACAGATAAATCTACTTAACCCTTAAGAAAATCTCTCTGACATTGTTTCTATTATTATCTCCAAACAACAGCAGTGTGATTATACGTTAAATAACAGTAAAGATGAGAACATCGCGGTGTTAACTAATTTTACCTGATCTGCGGTGGCAGTGGTAGTCTGATCCAGAGCCACAAAGCATCTCCAGGCTCTTTTACCATTTCATGTATGAAATTCAAGCAATTCCCCCGACAGAGGCTGCTGATGCTTCCATTTAAACACCCATGCTCACACCAGGACGTACCTGCTGGCCTCTGCTCTATCCCAGGGCCACTTGGACGGCAGAGGAATTGATTTGCTTGTTGTCCCTCTCTCCTGCGAGTTCCTTGAGGGCCTTGTACCTCTGAAGCCTGAGTCCCAGCCCAGAGGAGCCCTCAAAGGCACCCGAATGTGTATTGAATGACTGTGATTCCACAATTGCAGATTCAACTCTAGCGTACAGGGTAAAGGGATCTGCCAGTTGGATTGACAATGTGGAGATGGATGGAGAGCAAATTCTAAGAAGGCTTGTGAAAAGAAGTATTAATGTTGATTATTACCACATTGAAAATGTTTGTGAGCTCAGAAAGCAATTTCTCTTAGTTTGTTTTACATGCAGTGTTCACATTCTTGGTCCCACCTTGCCCAATTTCACATTGTCTTCTTGCCAAGGTAGGACAGTATGCCACATGTGGCACTGTTATCTTTGTTGTCTGGATTAATTTGTCAACCATTTCTTTCCTCTCCCTGACACCATCCTTTTTCCAGCAATGCTCCGTCCCGCTGTACATTTTTGCATTTATACATGATCCCTGATAATTTTATAGAAGCCTTTCCTTTTATAGACCTTGTAGATTCTTTGAATGCTTTATCTTGTCAAATCTTCCGTGTCCCATACTCCCAATTACACAGAGACTCTCGCTGTTTGTGAGAATGCCTGAATAGACTGTGATGACAAGCACTGTAGTCTTGGGAACACCATTCATTTAGGCCATTACTTTTCATTGGAACCTCCCAGAGTCCTCATGATTTAAGTATGAAGAATGTAATGATATCCCAGTTATTGAGAACACTAATTAAAATAATGCATATAAGGACACTTTATAATAAAGCTCTAAAGCACTGGAGAAACACCATTGACACTGTTTATGTGTGACCTTCATACTTAAAAGGTGACCAAGAAGCCAGCAAAGAGAAGGAATAATTCACGTGGAATGCCAAGAACATCTTACTCGGGACAGGCTAAGAAGAAGCGAAATCTGGAACACCTAAGTACCTCTGGGGAGCATGATGTGGTGTCAGGTAAGAGAAAACCACTTAGGAACAAGCCCTGTGGTCTTCCTGGCTGTATTTGTGTGTGGTCTAGGTGTATGGCATGGACCCAGGACAGTCCTGGCTCCAACCTGGGCTGAGGCGCTTGCCCAGCACCTGCTGAGGCGTTAGACTATGACTTCTGAAATCACAGACTTGAGTTGCCATCCATATAAAGTCCATGCGACTTTGGACAAGTCTTCCAAACTCTGAGTTTCAGATTCCTCATCTACAAAATAGAAATGAAGACTTCACGGTTCATAAATTGTGTGGAGGTGTTGAATTAAATCTAGAAGGCTTCATGACATGAAAGGTTCTCAGATCATTCTATCTGTGATGAGCTGGGGACACAGCTGACTCTGGGTTGTCTTCGCAGCCCTTAGCTCAATGCTGGGTACACACTCTGCCTTTAACAGATAGAGGCTGAACGAAAGAAGATGGAATGTTCTGGTAACTGAAGAGGTTGAGAGTCTAAAACCTGGCATAGAGTCAAAAGCTAAAACTTGACCTGACACTTGGTTTGTGTCAGTGCAGGTCTTGACAGCTCAGCCTGTCTGAGGTGGATGTGAACAACAGCAGAGGCTGTGGAAGGCCAATGCACACTTGGGAGGGAAAAGGCATCTCCTTTTCTTGCAAAACAGGGCCCACCCACCCCTCATGTACCAACTCTTCTCCATTGTAGAACCCAGAAAGAAGGAGATTAACGTCTGGAGCCACCGCCTGCGGGAGAGAAAGTACGTGGTGGCCTATGAAGAGATTAGCGACCCGGAGGAAGAGGACTAATTGTGTAAGTGACCCTTTGGCCCACCCCGCACCCCCCTGCACAGTGCTGTTCTGCGATGCTACTAGGATCCTCTCTTGTCACTTGCTCCCCAAATCCTTCCCTTTGCCTCATCCCTTGGTGGAGTGTGGGGATGGGGGGAGCACTGAAGCGCCACAAGGTTTCCCCATGCTCTGTTATGAGGGGTTTTCAAAAAGTTCATGGAGAACTGTACATTATGGAAAAAACTGTGCATAGATTTCAAAAAAACAAGTGTTTGCACCAAAATAAACCTGACCTTTTAATTCCATTTTCCATGAAAGTTTTTGCAGTCCCTTCATATATCCAGGGACCTCCCCCACCCAGGACGCTGTGGGCTCCCAAACCCCATGCCAGCTCCTAATGTACAGACTACACCTTCCAGTAGCCCAGCAGTTCCTAAGCCAGGTGAGGAAGTCACTGTGGCCAAAGCAGAAGGTTCACTTGGAGGAGCAGTGGGAGATGCGCATGGGTCCTGAGGCTGGCCAGGGTCAGAGCACGGGGCCTCTCTGCAGGTCTGGGGCAGAGCTGGGGCTCAAGTGAGCAGGCACTGGGAGCTCAATGCCACCTGTTTTCCTTTCTGTCCTTGCCTCAGCCTCTGGGAAGTGCCTTGCCCATGATGATAAGCAGAACCTGGTGGCATTTGAAGAACAACGGGCATGGCTATGAATCCCTGGCCATCAGCAACTGAAGTTAAGATCTGCTAATAGTGAAAATTTAAGCATCGGTGTACTGAACGCACTCTTTTAGTGTTTTTCTATGTGGCAAGCACTATGTTAGATATAAATGTAGCATTATCTCTGTTAGAATAGCACTATCCTTGCTTCCCAGTTGTGACTACTGAGGGCAATTCTAAGTATTCAGTTCCAGACATTTTTCTGTGCATTTGCATAGGCACACATCGGGTACCAATGGCGAACATCTCTCACCTGATTTTTCCCACTATTATTTGTGTCCTGGACCAGTCCCTCCAATTGCTGTTTGCACATGATCTATACCGCAAACTCACATCATCACTTACTCTGTACTTGTTACTGGGAATAAATGTTTGTAAGCATTCTCCTGTTGTTTGCTCCCGTCATTCTCAGACACACAGCTCTGTGCACTCATGGGAGTGCTTCTTTAGGACAGATTTTTAGAAGTGGAATCTTGGCATCAAAGGAGTCATTCACTTAATAGACACCTAGTGAGTACAGAGCCTGTGCCAAGTGCTGTCGTAGGTGCTCTGTGAAAGATCTTCAAGTTCAGCAACTGAGATGGTCCATTTCCATCTGGGAGTGTGTGAGAGGGGGCCGAGATGAAACTGCTAACTGGGGCAGGGGTGGGAAATGTCTGGCTTGTGTGCTGTGTAAAGCCTGCAAAATCATCTTGTCTGTCCCTACCAACTGGAAATTCAGTATATCTTTAGCAGGCTAATTTTTAAGTTGATAATTTCCTATGGCCCACAAATGATACAAAGATCCAAATGGCCCTTGGCAGATAAAAGGTTGCCCACCTGTGAACTAGGGTAAAGTGGAAGAATCAGAGAGGAGCTGCCCACTGTGGTCAACTGGGTAGACAGTGACAAAAGAGCCCACTTGGTGCAAGTGAGCAACAGTGGAAAAACCCACTGAGGGGCTGCCGGCTGTGGCCCCCAGCCTGCAGTGCCAGCATCCCATAGGGGCGCCAGTTTGAGTCCCAGCTGCCCCACTTCCGATCCAGCTCTCTGCTGTGGCCTGGTAAGGCAGTGGAAGATGTTGAGCCTTTGGCACCCACGTGAGAGGCCCAGAAGAAGCTCCTGACTCCTGGCTTCAGATTGGCCCAGCTCTGGCCATTGCGGCCATCTGGGAAGTGAGCCAGCGGATGGAAAACCTCTCTCTTTGCCTCTCTGTAATTCTACCTTTCAAATAAACAAATCTTTAGGGAAAAAAAAAAAACACTGGACAGAGGCATGACACCGCCCATCAAGTGTCTCACAACCAAGGGCTTGGGTGCTGGGGTGGGGATGAAGCCTTGAGAATAGGAGAGTCCTCTCCCGGATATACCATTGCAGGGTGCAGAGGAACAGTCAGCTCTGGGGAAGCGAGGGGAGTCTGTTTTAAAATAAACTTTGTGTGTGGTGGGGGGGACATAAAGGCCACCAACAATGTGAAACACGAGCCCCGGATCACCCGCAGCCCATCACCTTAGCCTCCGGGTTCCCACCCAGCCTTGGAAGATGGGCACTATCATTGTTACTAAAGTCACATTATAGATAAGACGAGATCGGGTGCGTTCAGGGTGGTATGGCCGTAGACACATTATAGATAAGAGACAGAGTCCATGGGGCAGGCATTTAGCCTAGTGGTGAAGATGCCAGTTAAAGGGACTGGTATTGTGGCACAGCAAATTAAGCTGCCCCTTGTGATGAGCCCATAGCAGAGCACCAGTTCAAGTCTCAGTTGCTCTGCTTCTGATCCAGCTCCCTGCTAATGCACCTGGGAAAGCAGCAGAAGATGGCCCAAGTGCTTGGGTCCCTGCACCCACGTGGGAGACCCGGATAGAGTTCCAGGCTCCCAGCTTCAGCCTGGCCCAGCCCTGGACATGACAGCCATTTGGAGAAGAATCTAAAAGATACAAGGTATTCTCTCGCTCTCTCTCTCTCCCTCCCTTTCTCACTGTCTCCTCCTCTCTGCCTTTCAATAAATGAAATAAATCTTCAAAAAATGATACCAGTTGAGATACCCACATCCATCATCAGAGTCCCTGGATTCTACAGCTCCTGATTCCAACTTTCTGCTAACACAGACCATAGCACACAGCACTGATTGCTCAGGTGATTGGGTTCTTACCATCCACAACAAAAACCTGATTGAGTTCTCAGCTCCTGGCTTCGGCACCTCCCTTCCACCCCACCCCCCACCAATGTGCACATTTGAGAAGTGAACCAACAGTTGAAAGCATGTTTTCTCTCTCTCTCCCTCTTGCAGCCTCTGGTTCACTCCCCAGATGCCTACAATGGCTGGGGCTGGGCCAGGCCAAAGCCAGGAACTCAATCCAGGTCTCCCAGATAGGTAGTAGGAACTCAATTTGAGCCATCACTAGTGCCTCCCAGGGTCTATGAGCAGGAATGCTGGAACTGGGAACCAGAACCAGGCATGAAACCCAGGTACTCTAATATGGCACGTGGGTGTCTCAACCAGCATTTCAACACCTAGGCCAAACACTCACCCCTAGATCATTTTTTAAAATGAAAGAGATGTGAGCCAGCATTGTGGGGCAGCAGGTTAATTAAGCCAGTGTCACAGGTGGCTGAGTCATTCCTTAAATGGTTCCCATATCAGACCAGTTCCAATCCCAGCTGCTCTGCTTCTGATCCAGCTCCCTGTGAATGTACCTGGGAAAGTAGCAGAAGATGGCTCGAGTACTTGGGTCCCTGCCACCCACGTGGGAAACCAGGATGGAGTTCTGGGCTCCTGGCTTCAGCCTGGCCCAGCTCCTGCCATTGCAGTCTTATGGGGAGTGAACCAAAAGATGGGAGATTTATCTCTGTGTGTGTGTGTCTGTCTGTCTCTCTGTTACTTTTTCTTTTGACAGGCAGAGTAAGAGAGTGAGAGAGAAACAGAGAGAAAGGTCTTCCTTCCATTGGTTCATCCCCCCAGATGGCTGCTACGGCCGGCGCGCTGCGCTGATTTGAAGCCAGGAACCAGGTGCTTCCTCCTGGTCTGCCATGTGGGTGCAGGGCCCAAGCACTTGGGCCATCCTCCACTGCACTCCTGGGCCACAGCAGAGAGCTGGCCTGGAAGAGGAGCAACCGGGACTAGAACCGGCGCCCCAACGGGACTAGATCCTGTGGTGCCAGCGCCGCAGATGGAGGATTAGCCTAGTGAGCCACAGCGCCAGCCTCTCTGTTACTTTTTCAAATAAATAAATAAATAAATCTTGAATTTAAAAAAAAGAGAGACAGAGCCCCAGACAGATGATGGGCATCGGGCCAGAGCTCCTGGCTGGTATGTGTGGGCGGGGCGGGTCTGGAACTAATTGTGATTTCAAAGACATTCTGGAGGACAGGTGTGTGTAATGAGGGGAGGGAGGATTGAATGAGCCCTGCATTCTGTTCCCAACCTCAGGGCAGAATGCATGAGGTCCTTTTCCTGAGACAAGGAGTCCCCATCAAGGGGGGAGGGGCAGGGAGGGAGAAGCAGGAATCCTGGAGGCAGGGAGGGCAGGAGAAGGCAAAGACCAGCAGAGTGGGCAGGAGAGGGACAGGCAGAGAAGCAAGGCAGAGCCAGGGCCAAGCGTGAGTTGTCACAGCTCCTGAGGCTGGTGGAGTAGACAAGGGTTTTCTGCCCCTGTTCCTTCTATTTCTCTTCCTTCTCCTCCTCCTCTTCCTTGTCCTCTCATGTGAAAGATCCAAATTCTGAGATGCAGGGAGTCTCTGGCTTGGCCTGTCCCAGAACCAGCCCTCTCCCACCAAGCCCACTGTGGGACCCAGTGTGAATGAGTGTGCTCTTCTGATAAGGGTCCAAACTGTGTGGGTTTTTTTTTATTTATTTATTGGAAAAGTAAAGTGAAAGAGAGGGAGAAACACACACAAAAAGAGAGAGAGAATCTTCCATCAGCTGTTTCACGCCCCAAATGCCCACAGTTGCCAGGGCTGAGCCAGGACAAAGCCAGGAGCCTGGAATTCCATCCAGGTCTCTCGTCTGGGTACAGGGGCCCAATCGCTTAGGCCATCTTCCACTATTTTCCCAGGCACATTAGCAGGGAACCGGATGGGAAGTGGAACAGTCGGGACACAAACCCGTGCTCATATGGGATGCCAACATTGCAGGAGGCTGTTTATTTAACCCACTGCGCCACAGCGCCAGCCCCCAAAGTGGCTTTTTTTTCTGAGTTTGCAGTCTTAGTTTTGTTTTTCTTTCAATAATTTTTAAAGATTCATTTATTTATTTGAAAGGCAGAGTTACTTAGGGAGAGACAAGAGAGAGAGAGAGGTCTTCCATCCACTGGTTCACTTCCCAAATGGCCACAACAGCCTGGGCTAGGCCAGACCGAAGCCAGGAGCTTCCTCTAGGTCTCCCATGCGGGTGCAGGGGCCCAAGGACATGGGCCATCTTCCACTACTTTCCCAGGTGCATTAGCAGGGAGCTAGACTGGAAGTGGAGTAATTGGAACTCTAACTGGCACCCATATGGGATGCCAGTGCTGCAGGTGACAGCTTAACCCACTATGCTAGTGCCATCTCCTCAATCATTTTTTAATCGTCTCTAAAATGAATCGCATGAGCCCAGTACAAAACTGGGGAAATGTGGAGTCATCTGAGAGAGAAGAGCAGAGCCATCACCAGCAGAGTTGTCAGCTCTGTTCCCCAACATCCACAGGAAAGGCTACATTTTGCAGGCAACCTACAAATGAACCTGCACAAAACAGTACAGCCCCTTTCACCGATGCTATGCACTTGGTACTTTCCATTCTGTTCTGTGATGTATTACTTTATTTCATTCTAATTCATGAATAACAGGAAAGTCTGTCTCAGGGCTCACAGTTCTATTGATCAGTTTCAGGCTTGCACCAGCGCACTTTGGAAAGTTCCTCTCCAGGGTGCCAGTGTGTATCCCCTCCACTCAGCACTCCGGGTCCTGCAACCAGGGTTCAGAGAAGCAGAGCCAGTGTCCCCTGTAGGATGGTGACTGGGAGGCTTCATGAACACTTGATGCAGGACTTGTCCAGGCAGGGGTATATATGTGGGATTTGTGAGGGCTAAGCCGTCTCAGGCTTCACCCTCCTGAGAGAGCAGGACCTGTGATCAGAGCAGCAGATGGGGTTATGCTGAGATGACAGGGACCACAGTTTCTCACTCCTGCTACTTGTCCATCCCACATTACCAACACCCTCACTCCAGGACATGGAGCAGCCACACCTGCGGCCTGGCAGAGAGAAAAGAGGGTAGATAAGTATGAACTACTCTTGGCTCATCCACTGGCCAAGTGTGACCTTGGCAAGGGGAACTGTCCTAGAAGAGGAGAGAGAACGACATTTGTGAACATTCCAAAGTTGGTCACAAAGAGGATGTAGCATTCTAAAAGACAAACTGGGGAGGGGTAACTGCC